ACCTCTGGATGTTTGTGATGAAGACCTCTGGATGTTTGTGATGAAGATTTGTGATTCACCAAGTTACCGTCAGTTTTGTTTTTTCCAAGGTGTTTTACCTGTGGTGGCCATCTTGAATCAGGTACGTCCAACAGGTCAGAGAGTCGTAGACGTTCATCCCGGTATCATTCCTCGGAGTTTAAACAAAGACTGCTCTGTTTGCAGGAGATATTTTGCTAACAGACACATTTAAAATCTCCACGGTTGTAAAAACAAATTCTAAATGACAGGAAATTCATAGTTTCATGTAAAAAAAAAAAAGGTCAAAATTTGGGAAAAAAAATCTGAGTCATAGAAAATAAAATAAACTTTTATCTTCTAAACACGTTTTATTTTAATAAGTGTTGACTTGTGATGTCGTCGTGTGTTGATTTTGATGTGAACAGAAACAAATCTAAAAACGATTTTAAAGTCCACAAGAACGGACAGAGTGAAGGAAAGTGAGGACAAAAAGACTTTGTGTGACTGTGGGACACTCTGGGAGGAGACGTCTCCGTCACACAGAGGACGCCTTTATTCCCTTCACGCGTTGTTTTCGTCACTCCGGCTCGTTTCTGAGCGAAAGTCAAAGTCCATTACCTGAAAGTGATGGAGCGCTGGTGCAGTGGTGGCAAAACACAAAACAAAACTAACTGCCCATGATGAGGAAACTACAGTTTCACATTCATGTGAGAAGCAACACAGGAAACAGGAAGTTAGAAAACTTTTGTTCTTAATTCTTCGTTCCACACACAAAATGCAACGTGTCGTGGAGGGACGATGCAACATTTGTAGGAAAGAAACAGGAACGTGTGTTTTATAATCACAACCATCTTTATTAGCATTGCACAGGATGCAACGAGAAGAAGAGAATAAACAACAAGCACATGACAGCAAGGCAAACAAAAGGCACAAAGTTTTAAAACTAAAGAAAAGGAGATAAACTAGTGGTTGTTTTGTTTCACAAACAGATTCTAACGTTTCAGTGAGGAGTAACAGAGTTTCACTTGGTTAAGACAAAAATGTAAAGAAGGGCGGAGTTGTTCCGCTCACAGCAGTGCACGTGGTCTTTAGCATGAAGGGGAAACCATGTTCAGCACGAGATCTTTGTCCACGAGGACCATGGACATGGTAAAGTACGAGTGACGGGGAGGACGCCTCGGTTTTCAGTGCCAGACTTTGTGAAGGGACAGAACAAAAAGAGCTGGGAAGAGATTCTCCCGGACTTTTGTAAAAAGAACAACGTTCTAGATCACATTGAAATGTTTCCTGTCAACAATCCGTCACGGGGAATATTTTGTGAGCGAGTTTGAAAAGTGTCTCTTTAACCTTTGGAGCAACTGATCATTTCATGGACCTGGAGAAATTATTATAATATTAAACAGTTTAGATTTTCAGGCAGTCACAAGTACATTATTGCATTTATCAGTTGAACTGCAGTCTCCAGGTTTCAGTGTGGGTAACGATGTAGTAGCATTAGATTATCTTCAGGAGTTCTGGATTAAATTAACGAGACCTGCAGGAATAGCTTTGCATATTTTAGATATTCATAACAAGTTCAGATTAAAGTTACTGCTAAAATCTCTGTGAGTTAAAATCCATTAAATCAGTGACAAATAAAATACATTTCTCATCCCAGTCAGTTTGAAAATAGATTTTCTGTTAACCAACATTGATCTATTATTCCACAGTAAGGATCCGTGTGGGGTCAAATTGTGGGTCAATATCATTTTTCAGAAATGCAAAACTTGTTTGAGTAAATTAGATATGAAGATAGAAATCTGGATTAATTCAAAATCACATTTGAACAAAAAGTCCAGTCCACCGAACGTATGAAACGTGACTCTACGGATGAAAGCACGTGGAGTTGGGAGACGACCAACACTTCTTCACTGAACGCCTGAACATCTACAGCTTTAACACCGCCCTTATCATAAGCTTAACAAGTTGAGATCGCATTAAATACGGAGTTTTGTTCCTCCATATATCAAAGATTATTGAAGTAGCTTTTTATGTTTTTGTCAGAGGAACAAACAGAACGACACGGATGAATCAGTTTAGACGCTCCGTCATTAAAACAGGAAACTCTCATCGAGCCTCGAGGACTCGTTTACAAAAGAGACCACATTTAACAAAGAGGGACGGAAACAATGGACACGTTATTATTATTATTATTGTTATTATTATTATTATTATTGTTATTATTATTATTATTATAATTGTTATTATCCATCCATTTTCTTTACCCGCTTCTTCCATTTTGGGTCACGGGGGTCGCTGGTGCCCATGTCCAGCAGTCACTGTGCGAGGGGCGGGGGACACCCTGGACAGGTCTCCAGTCCATCACAGGGACACATAGAGACAAACGAGACAAACAACCATTCACTCTCTCACTCACACCTAGGGACAATTTAGAGTTACCAGTCAGTCTAACATGCATGTTTTTGGTCTGTGGGAGGAAACTGGAGTACCTGGAGAAAACCCACGCATGCACGGAGAGAACATGCAAACTCCACCCAGAAAGGCCCCTGGACCGGGATTTGAACCAGGGACCTGCTCGCTGAGAGGCAGCAGCTCTACCAGTTGCACCACCATGCTGCTATTATTATTATTATTATTATTATTATTTTTTTTTTTTTTTTTACAAAATAAGATGTAAAAAAAAAAACCTCAGATAAAAAAGTTCGCCCAAAAATTGTAAAATCTCTAGTCAACCAATGTTTTCCAGAGGGGGGTCTGAGAGTCCTGCAGGGGTGAGGGGGGTCTGAGAGTCCTGCAGGGGTGAGGGGGGTCTGAGAGTCCTGCAGGGGTGAGGGGGGTCTGACAGTCCTGCAGGGGTGAGGGGGGTCTGAGAGTCCTGCAGGGGTGAGGGGGTTCTGACAGTCCTGCAGGGGTGAGGGAGGTCTGACAGTCCTGCAGGGGTGAGGGGGGTCTGACAGTCCTGCAGGGGTGAGGGGGGTCTGAGAGTCCTGCAGGGGTGAGGGGGGTCTGACAGTCCTGCAGGGGTGAGGGGGGTCTGACAGTCCTGCAGGGGTGAGGGGGGTCTGACAGTCCTGCAGGGGGTGAGGGGGGTCTTACAGTCCTGCAGGGGTGATGACAGTCCTGCAGGGGTGAGGGGGGTCTGAGAGTCCT